CACATGAAAGCAGACAGGAAATAAAAATCCAAGGAGGCGAAATGGGTCAATAAGAAATAGGTACTCCCCGAAAGTCACACAAATAACCCACTGAGAGGGGATGGTTTCCTGACCGGGAATGCAACCCATCACGTCGAGGCGAAAGCACAGAATTTGAAGTCTCAGGCCACGAGGTAGAGTGACCTTCGCTGTTATTCCTACAGGGGCAGTTTGAGCAGACACAGGAGTTTATCTTTGTTTTCATCATATTTTTTGCTCTTCACTTTTGTCAAGCAAAGTTTTAAGGCTAGCCTTGACACCATCCTGTGTCTTTTCATACATTTAACCTTCATATCAAACAGTTAGAATAAGAAAATTCTAAAATCCTTTTAATAAAATTTAGGAGGCTAATTTCAAGGATCAGTCTTTCGGCCACTGGCAATTAGAATTCTCAATAGTGTAGTGAAGTTCAGTAGCAACTACCCTCTTCAGAGAAGGAGTAATCCCAAAGACGGCCCCTGTTCCCAGACATAGGCCAAGACAACAAATGACTCCCGGGATTGCAGTTGGCCAGCTCATGCTAGCTAGACCAGCGGTCCCCAACCTCTGTGGCACCATAGACCCGTTTCATGGAAGACAAATTTTTCATGGAACAGCACTGGGGTTATGGTTTTGGGATGACTCAAGTGCATTACACTTATCGTGCATTTTGTTTTTATTTTTATTCTATTGTAATATGTAATGAAATACTTTTACAACTCACCATAATGTAGAATAAGCAGGAGCCCTGAGCTTGCTTTCCTGCAGCTAGATGATCCCATATGGGGGTGATGGGAGACCATGTCAGACCATCAGGCATTAGATCCTTGTAAGGAGTGGTATGCACCCTAAATCCCTCTGTAACCAATACATCTATTAGACTCCTGACCCCTCATCTCTCTCCTACTTGAAGATGTGTTCCTTACTGGGGTACTCAAGTTAAATTACATTCATTACGGTGGGCTCTAACCAAAACGTCTAGCGTGCCTGGTGGGTATCAACGGGAAATTCAGACACAGAGACATGTATACAAGGAAGGAAATGTGAAGTGGCATTGGGAGAAGTGGGTCATCCTCAAGCCAAGGAAAGATCCCTGGAAGAGATCCTTCCCTCTTACTCCTCAGAAGTAACCAGCCCAGCTGGCTAAAGAGGTGAGGCATGTAGCTCATGGCCCCAATAAACCATCTCTGCAGAGGTAAGGAATTGACATATGGGTATTCAAGGAAGATCTTGTCTGATGGCCTGGACTCATGTGAATTCCATGGGAAGCTGAAAAGCTTTTGAGAATTTTATACCAGAGAAAATGTCGTGAGAATGAACCGAATGGGACAAAGATGGCTGAAATGGAAAGAAGCTGTCAGAGTTCCTGGATTGTACAGGCAAGGAAGGGGCTGACTGAGGTACCCAGCTGTGGAGAAGAGGAGGAAGGACTCCAAAGTTGGGTCAAAGGTTGGCACGACCGTCACCTCCCCCCAAGAACCAGGGGCACAGTACTAGGGGGCTGGGCCATCTCTCTCGGTCCCGGAAACGGATGTCACCTCCTGAGTGCCAGGCATTTGTCCCACCTCCTCGGTTTCAGAGGGATGGGCTGCAGCAGCCCAGGCTGGGGTGAGAGGCTTCACTCGGCTGCCCAGGACTTAGGGTGTGAAGCCGTTACCCCACTGGGCCTCAAGGACAGAGCACTGAGCCCAAGTAGAATCTTTTCTTTCCATAGAATCTGACGGAGTTTGCCCCACTATGTTTCAAACTTGCCTAGGGCTCACGAAGTCAAGTACTTTTGCTGAGTTCCTACTTTCGGTATGATAAGCCCTATCCGGTGCCAGTCCCACAGCTGTATTTCAGAAGCAGATAACTCGTCTAGCTTCACAGGTGCAGTGGCGGAGAGAATTCTTACCTCAGCATGAGTCAGACCTGGAGACTCACCCATTCCAGATGGAGAAGGTTTTCAGGTGAGATGCTGGATAATTGATTTTGGAGTGAGTTAAGCCTTCAGGGAGGTTGTGAGGAAATGAATGTGTTTTCTATGTGAGGACATTAATTTGTGCTGTGGAGTGGATGCAGAAGAAGCACTATTATGGGTGGAGTTTTGTCCCCGCAAACTTCACATGTAGAAGTCCTGGCTCCCAGTGTTTTAGAATGTGACCTTATTTGAAGAGAGTCTCTACACAGGTCATCTGGCTAAAGTGAAGTTATGAGGGTAGACCTAACCAAGGAGGTTGGCCTCCTTACAAAAATGTGACGATTGGTATCCAGAACTGTGAGATAAAAAATAAATAGTGTTTCTTGGACACAGGGAGAGGAATACCACACACTGGTGCCTGTCGGGGGCCAGGGGGCTAGGGAAGGGAGAGCATTAGGAGAAATGCCTAATGTAGAGGACGGAGTGATGGCTGCAGCCACCACCATGGCACACATATAACTATGTAAGAAATCTGCACATTCTGCACATGTACCCCAGAACTACAAGTATAACTTTAAGAAATAAGAAAATAAATAGCGTTTAAGTCAGCCAGTCTCTGGAGTATTTTTGCATCGGCCCTAGAAAACTAATAAGACATCTCCACCAACGGCATTAAAAGCGGACAACCAGTCGAAGAACCAACGAAGCACAACCATCCAACCACAGGTTTCCCCTTCAACTCCAACTGAACATCCCTGGACAACTCACTCTTACTAGTTCAGACCAGGACACCTGACCACACTTTTTGGGCTGTGGCTGCTGGGCTGCAGGTGCCTCACTGGTTGAAAGGGATCCGAGTGGAGCTTCTGCTGCTCCATCAGACTACATTCCATCGTCCCCATGATGCGTAGAGGCCAGTCATGAAGGTTTTCACAAACAAAAGGTTCTAGCCTGAAGAAGAGCAGAATCAGAGAAATCTAAACAAGTGAGATCCCAATTCTAGGGAGCCTAGAATAGGAATTGATCCTTACACCTTTGTAGTTTTTTCTGTGCAGTGTTTGGGTCATTGCTTCTCCTTTGACATGAACTCCATGGTACAGGGAATGCTGACAAAAAGATTGATTGGACTATATTGCTCGTATTCATACTATTTTTCCTACATTGATACTTCTCATTTGTTACTTAAGCAGTAAAGCCATTTTCCTTACTTTGTGTTTTCAGTAAGCCACAGCAAGACATCAGGATTGCTCACTAGGTTCCCCTGCCTCTCAATCACCCACCGAAATGCTCTATCAAAGGTGTGAACCTCCTCTTCCGATCATCCCATCAAACTACAACCTTTTGCTCTTTCTTCCTATAATTCATCGGCATCAGTCCCCTTGAACCCCCACTCTCCACTCTCCACAGCCCAACCAGAGTTCACCGTGGGCCCTGTGTTACCAGTGCTCCTCTTTGATTTCTGAATTTACAGATAGAAAACACACACTCCAGGGTAAAATATCGCAGTGGATTTGGTTTCTGAAAAAGACATACCAAATTACTCAGTGGATATGCAAGGATAACTTTCGAAATTTATTTCTATGCCCGACTTGACAGAAAAATTGGCACTTTAAAAGCAAAACGATTAGCATAACAAGAATTAAGTTACTGAGTGAGATGTGGTGTTTTGGATCAGGTAGGTACACAGCTCTGTCTCTGGAAAAGAGCAGGGATCTGCAAAGCATCTTTGGTTTTCAAATTGTTGTTTTGGACAGGTAGGAACACTTGTCGGCATCCGGCAGGGGGATTTCATTGCGGCTGATTTCTTGGTCTCCTAACGAGGTGAGAATTTTTCTTCAACTATTTTCACAACACGTTTCTGATAGTCTAGAAAAACAGAAAACAACAAATCCCGATGAGAGGACTCCTTGATTCTACATCCTTTCTCTTTGGATCCCAAGTGGAGCTCTGGAAGTGACCTTCTACCCCTTCCCGTCTGCACTACTCAGGGAAGCTCTGGCTTCTATCCTGCTCTGCGCTCATTTCCGTCTTGACCAAGCGGTCCTTCTCTCGAAGGTAGAATAATCTGTGTGGCTATGTGTTGGGTCCCTCTGGCGTGGTTATTTCCCACTTCTGAGGGACTCAAGAAAATTTTGATTTTTGTGATTTACCAGCTTTTGTTTCATGGTTTGACTGAGAGTACCATCCTTTACAGGTTTCTACATATAAAGGAGAAGGGTTGTTTATGAGACGTTTCAAAATTTGTGGGAATCATTTAACAGAAATAACCACATATTGAGCTTCAAGGCACAAAACAACAAATTTCTATGGGTGGCAATCCCAGAGTAGGTTTTCTTCTCCACACGCTCGGACGGCTGCAAGTCTATTTAAATGAAAAGCAACGAGAAAGCCACCAGCCGCTCTGAAATTCTGCAACACACTTATAGAAGAAAATGCTAAATATACAAAGTCTTGGGACCCAGAAGAAAGCACAATGAAAAGCAGCCTATACTAGCATTAGCATGAATAAGCAAATCTCTGGAGGAAATAAGTGTCACCTTACTTCTCCTAAAGGCTGGCCATGCTCTGCGTGACTTGATGCCAGGGGCAAGGAACACGGCATACCCCTAGCTTTGGATTCGTATCCTTAAATGACGGTGGTTACAAACACTGAAAACAAAAATGTCAGGTAAAGAATCACACCCCTGTCCCTTGAAACACCAGGGTGAATATCACAGGAAGGCTGTTGTGGGTACAACCTCGGTCACGCCCCACACATTGGCACAATGACTGTTGCTCACTGCCTGCACCACTGAATACTAGGGCATGAGCTGCTTGCCTGGACTCTCCCTAAGCCCACTGACACAAACCTGGAACTAACGAAGGTTTCTGTTTAAAAAGAAATGAAAGGATTATTGTCAGGGCAAAAAAAGGAATGAACTGCAATGGTGATGTCAGAGTCGAGGCAGAGGGAAAATGAGTGGATTCTTGAAAATTTTATTTAGCTATATGTACACTGTAACTGGGCCTCATTTGCTTATTTACTTGGATTCGCGTTGGGAGAAATGTTGAAAACGTTTGCGGTGGGTGGGGGGGGGGTTACCTTGGTTCTTCTATCAGTGTCTTCACTTTTTCTGTTGCTGTAGGGCATCTACTGAAGTTCTGGAAAATTCCACCATTCAGTCGCAGGAGAATGAGAGTGAAAAGGGTAAAGATCAGTACATTGATAACATCACCATAAAGATAACCTAGGAAGAAAACTAATAAAAATGACCATTTAGGAAACTGACGAAATGAAGCAGGCTCGAGGAAAAACCCACTACTTTTCCTCGGAGCATATGGCACTACAGGTATATTGGAGTTGACAATGTCTAGGACTGAGGGAGAAATGCTTGAAAAATCACAGGACGCCACATGACACATGCCCCCCGCAATGCGAATTCGAAAGAACGCCACCCGCCCCAACCTCTGCTGGCGTCCCCCCCTCGGCAAGCCACTGGTCTTTTGCATGGTGCTCAGGGGCTCCTGAGGTAGCTCACTTGCTCCTGGTGTACCTGAGAACAGCTTTCGTGCCCTCAGACTCCGCGAGCCTGCCCATCTGCCCCGGCAGCAGCAGGCGCACAGCGATCTGGATCTCCCAGGCAGTGATGGTCACGTGCTTGGCAGAGCGCGCCAGGCGACCAGCCTCGGAGGCGATGCGGTCCAGTATGTCATGAACCATAGAATCCATGACACTCACGGCCTCCCGGGAAAGGCTGAGGCCCTGGTGAACCTGCTTCAGCACCAGGCGGAAATAGGGGGCGAAGCTGTCCCCGCGGCAGTTGGCGTGGCACCGGCGGGCCGCTCGGCGCCGTCGCTTCCTCTGCTTGCTGTTCTTCTGGGCCGTTGTGGAGTTGGCCTCTTTGGGCTCCTGGGTGATCACTTGTTCCTCAGAAGTCGTCTCAGAGGAAGTTCTAGCCATGGCGGAGGCAGCGGCCATTAGATGGCAAGAAGAGGTAACGGCGGTTGTGGACGGGGACAGACGATGGCGGTTGTGAAGCGGGGACGCTTGGGTACGCGGCATGGCTCCACGTCACGGGCCACCTTGACATGTGATTGGATCAAGTGGATGAAGTCCCACAGGGACCCCGTCAGCAAACCTCCCTGCATCGAAGGTGACTGGATGGTCCCGTTGCTTGGCATCTCGTCAACCAATCACAGGGAGCGTCTGCCGGCATAGGCGCCCCCTGTGGCCTACGTGGGAGGCAGTTACACAGATGCCTCACGCGGCAAAAGCGCATGAGCCCTCCTCGGCTGATATATGACACACCCTGTACACTTTGAAGGGTGTCACTGAAAACCCCCAAAGTTCAGCAATTTCAGCTCATGCTCCTTGAAGAGAGACAGACCTCCTGAGCCCAAGGCCATTATGCCGATGCCAGAGGAATGACTGTATCCACGTGTGGACCGTTTCTCGCCCATCGCGGAATCTGCTGTTATCCCTGGCTAAGCCACCCCGGCTTTAGCAGGAACTCCC